TAACACTCACACGTAATTTGGGGCCTGGAGCCCTGTTCACGCGCGCGTTGTTTGCCGTTTGTGTTTTCGTGTGGGACCCCGTGTTGCATGTCTGACTGTCTGTGTGCGATTTCGGGCCCGGGGTTGTGCGTTTATGTGAACTTCCTTAGGTCCGCCTCTCACACCCTCACTGTCTGTGCGATGTGAGCTTCTTGTTTCTTCTTCAACCTATCTGTGAACAGAGCACCAAAAGAGGGTTCCACTCTGACCTGTTCCGACCCTGATCCGACCTCTCTCGAACACCGACCTGATCCGACCGTGTTCACTTCGAACACGGTCGGATCAGGGTCGGACCAGAGTCGGAACAAGGTCGGGAAAATCCCTCCCTCCCGCCGCCGCTGACCCCTGTTCCGACCGGTCGGATCAGGTCGGATCACGGTCGGAACAGAGTCGGAGTTCACAGGCCGAGCTCCGAGTTCACAGCCACGTGCCGTACGTCCCGTTGACGTACAGCCATGTGCACGCCTGACACGGACACTGCCCCTCGCGCCGACGAGCCGTGCGGGCCTCCGTCGGCGGCGTCAGACGAGCTGGCGGTGACGACTGCGACGCCCGCTGAGGCGGCGGCGGCGGAGGCGGCGGCGGAGGCGGCGGAGGCGGCGGCGGAGGCTGAGGTGCCGCCGCCGGCCGAGGAGCCGGCGGCGGAGACGGAGGGCCCGGCGGAGGAGGAAACGGCTGCGGTGGCGCTCCCGGGAGGCGAGCCGGCGGCCGAGGAGGAGGCGGCGGACGAGGAGGTGGTGGCGGCAGGGCAGCCGGCAGGCACGGCGCCCGAGGTGCGCAAGTTGCCCAGCACGACTCTCTCAGTCACGCTGAAGGGCGACAAGGCGCAGCCGGCGATGACCGCGGACCTCTCCAGAAGGCGGGGCGTGAAGGTCAAGACCTACTCACGCACCATCGCGCTGACCATCACAGCCGGCACGACCACCACGCTGCGCGAGCTCGCGACTCAGGGCGCTCTCAAGATTCTGGGCCCACGCGCGGCCGAGGTCGCGTTGCGGCAGGAGGGTGTGCTCCACGCCGAGGACGCACTCGACGAGCCGGTCAAGCTCGACACGTCGGTCGTCTTCTCGCCACCCTCGACGCCCTCGACTGACCTCGTCCTCATCGTCTACCTCGATGCCGAGATCTTCCGCGACGCGTTTGTCGGCAAGGTCAAAGCCGACAAGGAGAGCTTCGAGGTGACGACACCTGCCCAAGTGCTTCCCTTCACACACTGCGTGCATGACTGAGACTGCATGTGTCCCCGCCCACAGAGCAACGCAAAGGCCCACTCGATCAACATCCAGCAGGTGGAGATTTACGAGATGAGCGGGGTGAACAAGACCAACTTTCTCGCAGGGATCGGCGCCAGCGGGATGGACAAGGCGCCGCTCAACTGCTGCAACACGGAGAAGATCGAGACGTGGCTCGCCAAGTACAAGGGGAAGATGGAGAAGCTGCGCGCCGACCTCCTCGACCTGCGCCGCCGCAAGCAGGAGGGCAAGGCGTCTACCGCCAAGAAGAGCACCAAGCGGGCGCTCCCTCCTGGTGACGATGACGACGACGATGACGAGGGCGGCGACGACGACGACGACCACTCCCCCCTCCCCTCGCTCGAGGGCACGGTCCCGACGAGCGGCGTCGCAGCGGTCCCACACCTCTGCGCCGACACTGCCTCGCATGTGATGGCGACGCTCACAGGCGCTCTGTTTGCCGCGTGCATAGGTGTTCAACGAGGCGGCAAACTCTCTCTTCCTGGCCTCGCTTGCGGCCTGGTCTGCGGTCGACGGCAAGGAGCGGCGGAAGTATGAGAAGCACTTCCTCGAGAGCGCCACCCAGGCGGAGGTGGCTGATAAGTTTGGCATGGTTGGCATCACGCTCCCGCAGGTTACCGCCAAGTTCCGCAACATGAGGAACCGCGAGGCGAAGAAGCAGAAAGCTGCTCAGTGAGTGCAGCTCGTTGCCCGCTCACCCCCCTCTCTCGTGTGCACACGCCGCGCCAGGCCACGGGAGCGGCGGGGAGCCGAGACAGCGACGCCGCGACGCCTCAGCGGCCGCGACACTTTGCGAGCCGCGCGTGAGAGCGAGATATTTGCTGGTGTAGGACTCTTTTTATTCAAGACTCTATTTATTCAACACCATTTCAGAACTGCTGCGTGAGGGGGTTGATACCTGCCGCAAAGGACCGGACGTGAGAACCCGCCACCGCCGCCGCCGCCGCCTTGCCCTTGGCCTTCTCCATGGCCACCTCGGCCCGGTGGCGCAGCTCCGCGAAAGACCTGGCCGGCTGCTCAACTTCATCGAGGTCAACACCGAGGGCGGTGCAGGGGGTAGCGTCGTTCTCGGTATCCTCGAGCTTGGCGCAGAGGGCCTTGTCCGTCGCGGCGTCGGTGTCAGAGTCGGGCGTCGTCGCCCCTGCCACCGAGGTCTCTTTAGGCGGCGCAGACGCGTCCGACCCGGCAAACGGGACGGGCGAAGAGGGCTTCGGACGCTTACACCGCTGCAGGTTCTCGTCGAGGTAGCCAGCCTCTTGCAGGAAGCCGACCGAGAAGCGACGTGGATCGCTCATAGACCCGTGCTCACTGAGCTCGTACTCCACGGGGGCGTAGTACGGAGGCGGCGTGCCGGATGGTGGCGGTGTGTCCTGGTACGACGACTCCGTGTCGGTGGTGTCCTCGGATGCCTTCATGATTGTGACAGGCACGGGGCGTTCCATAGGACAGCCCGTTGCCGCGTGTACCGGGTCGGATCACGGACGGAATCCAAGAACTCTCCCGCCAATAAGTAAAAGACGACGGAGAAAACGTTATGTTCGTACGCGTACGTCTCTCTTAGTGGTAACTTGATATGATTCTTGCCGCGATCATACGAAACTCATCCAAGGCTGATCGCGGCACGACACATGGACACCACTCTCGATTTCGATGGGCAGATGCAGCACGCGGTGCACCTCTCCCGCCGGCTGCAAGAAGAAGCGCGCCTCGCCACTCGGCAGCTTGCGGACGACTCGCGAGTCCGTGTCATACTGCAGCCGCTCAATTTTGAGGAAGCCTGGGTCAGAGCCTGCCGGGTCGGTGGCCTCGCGCATCATGTAGCCGGCCTTCGGCTTCTTCGCGATGATCGCGTGCACCTTGGCAATCTCGAGACCGCCAGGCTCGGCCTCGCTGCTGCCGAGGCGCCACAAGGCAATGATATCACCGCGCAGGACAGTGCCCCCAGTGGTGGCATGCTCGTTCTCCTCGCCCTCCGCCTCGTCGCCTGCTGCAGCAGCCGCGGCCGCCGCAGCCGCCGCCGCAGCGCGAGCCGCCGGCTGCGCGGCAGGTGCTTGATAGTGCCCGGCCATGCCGTTCCAGAAGCGGGAGTGGCGCCCGCGATCGACTATCTTTATGTACCCGTCAAGCGCACGGACGAGCTCAGACCACTGCCACCACCTGCCCTCAAATTGCACATGCCAGGCACGCCCCAGGCCAAGCCTCGGCAGCTCCCCGCCCGGTGATGGGCCGGCGTCTGGCTCGCCCACGACGGGCCCAGAGCCGCCGGCACCGACCTCATTGGCAGGCTCCTCTCCTTCGCCGCCAGTGCCCATGATGCTGGTCTCCAGGTCCACGGTCGGAATTAGCCGGAGCAGCGCCTCGGCTGCGTCAATGTGGCTGTCGCGTTCTGCCTCGTCTACAATCATCTCGGCCGCGGCACGGAGGAGTATGGACGGGCCGGAGGCATCGTCGTCTTCGTCGTCGAGCATTGCCTCCGTCGCGGCCGGGGCGGCCGGGGCCGGCGCCGCTTGTGCGTCAATAGTGTCCATGTATGTGTCGGGAGGGCGGACGTCCGTTCTCTCTCTTCTCTCTCCTGTTTGTAGAGTTTTACAAGTTCATCGGACGTCCTCTGATGAGCCAAGATTCCTCTGGGCATGAATCCTCCGGCCAAGATTCCTCTGGGCGGAGATTTTGAGATACATCGATCTCAAAATCTCCCTGTCGCCGTCTGTTGTTTTTTTTACCGAACGGACACGAACGAGAGCGTGTGTGCGTTCCACTCTCACCCGCGTACTTTCCAGCGCCGGGTTCGCTAAAAGAATTTTAAAACAAAACCGACCAAAGGGATCTAAAGAATGTACGTAAGAGCCACATACACTGATGAAAGAAAAATCGATTTCACGGAGCTGTGCGCGCCTCATTCGGTGGTGAGAGAGTGCCCGCCTCGTTTCACCATGTATGTGCTGTGCCCGTCCGTGCGGTCGGATCATGGTATGATCCAACCCTGTTCGAACGCTGCCGAACACGGTCGGATCAGGGTCGGACCAGAGTCGGAACAAGGTCGGGAAAAAGGGCCGTACGTGGGGCAGCTCATCTGTTCCGACCCTGATCCAACCCTGTTCCGACCGTGTTCGAACGCTGCCGAACAGGGTCGGATCAGGGTCGGACCAGAGTCGGAACAAGGTCGGGCCAACGGGTCGACTGTGGGGCAGCTCATCTGTTCCCAACCTGATCCGACCCTGTTCCGACCTTGTTCAAACCTAACAGGGTCGGATCAGGTCGGTGTTCACATAA